GTTTTGGAAAGCTCTCGAGGTAAGCTACAAGAATATGCATTGAAAAATGGGGGTTTCCATTTAAGAAATTAAAGGTGACGTTCACGTGATCTTCAAACGACTATCCTAGGTCAAACCAATGACACCATCTTATGTGCCCCTCGAAGTCACAAAACTTTTGTCTGAAACATTTTTCTTTAAAATGTCGCGTTTACGAAAAAATCGGGTGAGACGGGTGGTCTGGGACACCCTGTATATATATATATATATATATATATATCACTTATCAGACTCGGCCCACGTACTGCCGAGCAAACTGGTCTTAAGCGCGATAGATAATAGGGATTCTCAAAACTTTTCGGATGACTTAATACTAAGGAACTTAAGACAGCAAAATTTACAACTTTGATTTTTTCGTTAATTTTTTAATAGTGCGCCATATTACTTGGTTGGTTGTTGGGGATGTATTATATTCTTATCGAGTTTGGTCATAATCGATCACCTCAACATCGTGCCGTCTCCTGGTAAGAAATATACTCGTAGATTAATTTTTCTATATACAGAGTAAAGTATGTCTTAAGTTAGCCTCCCATCATCGAAAATAAAGTTATAATATATATGAAAATTAAGTGCTAATTAGATGCTAATTTAGTGCCAGAAAAAAAAATCTAATCGCCGAATTAGATATCTGGAACGTATATAAAAAGACGAGTAATTTGACACTAAAATGATAAGAGCATCTAATTTTTTCGCAAAGTTATACTTGAATGACACTTTAACGGGTTAGTAACTTCTATTGCAAAATTCTGCAAAATGGAAGGAGCACCTAATTCCGTGATTAGATTTTTTTTTTTAAATATATAACAAGACGAACAATTTTACACCAATATCGAGCGTGCACCTAATTTTTTAAGTTGTCTTGTACTTAGGACATAATGGCTCAATTCTTTTTTTCTAATAAACAGTTTGATTTTTATGATATATCTTATTATATTCTTGGAGCACTTAATTAGCCATTCATTTTATTCTATTTCTTTTTTCGATTTTCTTTTTGTTTATATGTTTTTTTTCAATTTGGGGGGGTGCTAGATTAACGTTAAGCAATCCCCCTCTCCCATTATTTTTTCATTTCTCGCCTGGAGCAAATTTTTTTTCTGGCACTAAATTAGCATCTAATTAGCACTTAATTTTCATGTATATTATAATTTTTTTTTCGATGATTGTGGGACTAACTTAATAGACATGAATGAAGCATGTAAAGCGTGTCAGGTGAATATCTCCAAAAAATATTAATGGCAGAAAAAAGTAAATGTTTTTATCAGGCCAAGTATTTTAAGGATTACATCTTTTGGATATATTTATTTTTTCTCTATAAATGCATCAAGGATATTTCTAGGTTATTTAGTTTTTGTTTAAATGGAACTATATGTTTTTAAATATATGCAATTATCGTATGTATCAAAACAAATTTAATTCTTGATGCATGTGTATGGAGAAAAATAAATATATCTACAGATGTAATCTTTAAAAGATTTTAATTTTGCCTGATAAAATTCCTTTCTGCGTCAATATTTGAAGGCATTTACACGTCATGCTTTACACATTCTTCATTCTATATATGTACATTATTTAAAATATTACTAATTTTTTTTCGTGATTTTTCGCGAATTTTCCACAATTTATAATTTATATCGTGATTTATTATATTATACAGCCTACAGAGTTATCGCTGCATAGCTTTTTTTTACAAAAAGTTACATTCATGTCGAAATGAAGATATATAGTATATTTTAATTTTTTCTCAAGAAAATGATCGAGATGTAAGATATATTTCTTAATTCTATATAATTTTTGAACGTTCTGTTATAGGTAAAACTAAAAGATGCTGTACCGGAAGCTTTCGAGATGGTACTGAACTACATCTACACCGATCGCATCGATCCTACCAAAAGAACGGATGAAACGTTTAGCGGTAAGGTTGAAGATCCGCAAAGCAATCGCATCGTGCTTCTCATGATGGATGTGTATCGTCTTGCCGTGCAATTTAATATGGAACGCTTAGAACAGCTGTGCATCAGTTATCTCGAAGCGACCATAAGTCACGCGAACGTTTTGGTGGCGCTGCATAACGCCGTGAACTTGAAGCTATATTTCATAAAGGAATTTTGCCTAAGTTTTGTTGTAAAAGAGAGCAATTATCATCAGATCGTGATGAGTCAGGAATTTGAGACTCTGGATCAGCCACTGATGGTGGAGATTATCAGACGGCACGAGACGCCGCAGTCAAGGAATTTTACCAAATACGAGTACGAAACTGGTGTCGGTACGTGTCTTACACAATTTTTATTTGCGCGTTCTCTCGTGGTTTTCCCTTATCGTAAGAGGAATTTCGTAACTCATTACGAAGCTCGTTTGCCAGGAACCAGTCTGGAACAAGATATGAAGGCGTTCTTGAACAACATCGGTCTGGAATTCTGCGACATCAGGCTGATACTGGACGGCCATCCGATACCGGCGCACAAGGCTGTTCTTGCAGCGCGATGCAGTTATTTCGAGGCCATGTTTCGATCCTTCATGCCTGAAAATAACATGGTGAATGTGAGTACAGATATCTTGATTAACATAAAAGCTTGTCCAGACAAACTTGCATAGTTATATAATGCTTATACACAAGGAAATCGATTAATCGTGTGTCTGATATAAAGAACATTCTTTTATTGCACGGATTATAATTGCTTGCTTTATTTATACAGATGCATTATTTTATGCGACATTATGCGATTAGTTTGCCTGGATCAGCCTTTGCCACGTTAATTATCAAATATAAGTTACTTAATGTGCAAAAATAATTCTCTGATTCAAACACCACTACGTAACTATGAGTTAATTGCGTAGGTTTTTGTAGGGATAAGTGAGTTTCGCTGAATAATAAATATAATAAATTAAGATTTTCCTGAGTAGTCGCCACGACCAAATTGGATTTATGATGTTATAGGCAAGGAATGACATTTTTCTTACACAATTTTATTATTTACGGTTATCTTCCTCCTTCTCTCCCTCGATATTTTTATCGATATACAGGGTGGGTCAAAAGTTTAGATACAGTCGAATATCTCGTAAACAATGCAATTTTCAGAAAAATGTTTCAGGTAAAAGTTGTAGAGTTTAAAAAGATCTACTTGTCTTATTACCTCATCGTGTATGACGCTAGAAGTTACACGCGATCTATTAGGTTGTAAGATATATTTGTTCCGACTTCTCCGCTTGGTGGCAGAACGCTCGCTTTTTCGTATTGTTACAAACTTCACGCGTGTAAATATTATTTTTTGCTTTAAAAGTGATATTTCACTTGTCAGTTTAATACAATCTTATTATGATCAGTGAACTTTAAAGTTTCTTGTAACATTTTAAATGTGCCAGGAAATCAAGAACATTTTCGTCATTATGCTTTTTTATTGTCGAAAAGGCACAAACGCGTCGCAAACTTGTAAAAAATTTATGTTATGTGGAGCCGATGGTATAGATGATTCTACGTGCAGGAAGTGATTCTGGAGATTTAAATATTTTTGAGCATCGCCTCTACGTTATCGAAGCTTGTTAGGTACATCATTGTCTTTGAAATCTCCTTAATTAATATATTAAAATACGCTAATTTGTTAAAAATAGCATTGAGAATAAAGTTCGCTAATGTTACTGTGACAGTGAACGTGTTAAATTTGCTGAAACTAGGTGTCGGCAGATATAAAAATAATATAAATGCAACTTACGCAGATACAAATTGGTGAGATGATACCATCATCGGAATCGTTTCACTCCTTGCTGAGGTACATTTATTATGCCGACGTTTCGATGCCGCCTGAAGACTCCTTATATCTATTTACTGCGCCGGTGTTCTATGGTTTTACGAATAATCGACTGCAGGCGTTTTGTAAGCAGAATCTTGAGACGAATGTTACCTCCGAGAACGTTATAGATATTTTAGAGGCGGCGGATAGAATGCAGGCAGTCGATATGAAGAAGTACGCGTTAAACCTAATAGTTCATCATTTTAGCAAGGTATGTTCAAATCCTGCACACGTTCAACATCGATGTCATCAGTATTCCAATATGAATATGTTCATTTACGAAAAGCTTTTGTTCAGGTTGCGAGGCTTCCTAGATTGAAACAATTAAGTCGCGAACTCTTATTAGAGATTATCGAAGCATTAGCTGACGAACGTAGCGAAGGTAGGATGTGTCAAGATATGACGAATGATTGCTGACGGATTTCTATCTCAGGTCGTCGTTCGTACAATTGGAATTTGTTGTCATCGTGCAGTTTCCAGGTAAGGAAATTTAATTTAATGTCTAATATTTTAATCAATTAGAAGTACATGCGCTTCTAGATTTTTTATTGACTTAACTTTTTAAAGATTAACATACATCGTTACACCTTTACATCGAAAACATAAAATTAGTAATTTTTTAAATTCAATAATATATTTCTAGCGAAGAAACGAGGTGAGTTCCTTTTGACGCAAGAGTGCAGTATTGCATGCGTGCCACTCAAGTGGTTAAATGCATTTTGTATCAAACATCGCGCTTGTATCAAGCGCTTCATTTGAAATTAAAATATTAAAATTAATTTTTTCATTACTATTTATACATTCAAAGATTAAACAAAAAATAAATAAATTGTTAAAGGTATTAAATGTTTAATTTATGTTAAATTTATGAGTAAATTTAATATATGTAATATATAGACTATATATATGTATATATGTATATATGAGAAATATATAATTTAAAGGTCATCTTGATTTTTTTATATCATAGAATTTTCTTTTCATAATATTGTAGATGATTTTAGTATAATTATGCATAGTTATGTATATTTATATATGATTATATATGAAATATTTTTTAATAGTTTATAAACTCTGGTTAAATATATAAAGAAAGCTCCTTGGAAACTAGAAATTATTAAGCTCTATTTATTGCGAATACTCGTCATGAAATGGTAAAATAAACGATGAAAGTGCTCAGGATGTCCACCCATAGTACCACTAAAGATATCCATTGATATCTCGAAGTTGTCTCGTTTCAGGAACTGTGCCGGGCAAATTTCATTCTAATAGGACGAACGATTTTCTTCGTTGGTAACTGTTATCTCGACCATGCTACTAAATCCTGCTTGGCCTCGGACATACAGACTTTGTTGCCGCTGTCGACGGCCGCGTTGTCTACTTCGATTCACGAACCGTCATTCGGCGTCGATCCGGTAACGTCATCTCGTTATAGTGACGGTAAGAAACAGCATCAATGGTCTACCATCACTCGTCGTTGCTCTGTCAGTTGCAACATGTTTAGGCGTACTGTTGTTGCTTTGTCCGACTTCGGGTTTAAAAAATTTTTTCCATAAACGGCCGTTAATATAGTAATTGTAACTTCTCTGAGTTGACCAACATCGAAAAAGGAAAGAAAGGAATGGCAATGTTGCGGTAGAAGAATTGCTTGTCGCGCGACGGAAAAGCTGTGGTGAGATCGATGTATACAATACTGGTTTAGTGATCATATAGTGTCTGTTTAGATAACGGAAAATCATAGACTGATTGTTGATAACCGCGAGACGCTTGCGTATCGAAATTATAACTTACTATTGAAAACTATTAAAACTTTTCATTTAGATAGATAATATAATTAACTGTTACAAGTAGACATTAACGTCTATCCGAGAGTAACAATTACGTTCTTCTCTCAATTAACGACTGTTTTGATAATAATCGAATTATTTACTTATATACAGTATTTTTGGACTGTGACACCGGGTTGAGATACTATTAAATACTTACAGTGAGAATTTTGATATAAATATCCGAATAAATATACAATAGTTATAGAGATAATTGTAGTTTAGACTCGTTCCCTAAGTATTTTATAGTGTACGTAATGAATTTTTCAAGTTAGACGAATTCTCCACGTAAGCCTGTCGATCTTTAATAGTATCTCGTTGGTGGCTGTGATAAGAATTTGTGTGTTTTCACATTTTTATTATAAACGTTGAACTGTTTGTAAAATATATGAAGTGTACGTTTGCTAAAGGAAACCTTGTTTCTGAAACGTTTTGAACGTCTGCGATTGTATTATTTCGCATGTTTTGATTATTGATCTCTGCAACTGCGTATGAGATGCAATTGTATAGAGATCGTGTCTATTAATGCGAGTGAATTATGTATGTATTGATGATGAATGTACTTTAAAAATACCGCAAGAGAGGGAGAGGGAGAGGGGAGGGTGGAGAGAGAGGAGAGAGAGAGAGAGAATCGTTAATATCAAAAATCATGAGTGAAGATATAAAAATTGAACTGATTACTCAAAATGACAAAGATTACACAAGCAGTGTTTAAGTCAAACGATTGAGCTGCAGATGATATGCTATATTTTCTCACTTTGAAAATATAGTTTAATAAATAAAATTAAGTTTTGCAAAAGGAATCCATGGTTTTACTTAATATATTGGATAAGTGCAAAAGTTCGTGCCCAATTCTAATAGATGTTATTAGAAGGATTTAACTGAACAGGAAAGTCATGTACCATTTTGCAGAATTTGCCATAGCAGAAAGAAACCTAAGAGCGATCATGCCCGAGCGGGTTCTTTGATATCGTTTTACGCGACTGTTTGATACGCCTGCCCTTAAATCTGCATTCACTTTTGACGTTGGAACTATTTCGCTACATCCACTTTCTGGTACTGCCGATGTTTTCATTTGGTGCGTGTTCGTGCTACGTCCACAATTTCCCTGGATGAGAAACATGGCATCGTGTGCGGACGTATATTCCGTTCAACATATGCGCATCATTCTTCTCTCTTTACACACTGTTATGAACATATTGTATGTGTATATACATATGAAATATCACTCCCGGTAAAGTAAAAAATAAGAAAATAAAAATTACATTTTTGTAATAATAATTAATATGCACAGATGAAATAAAACGGTCGTAACAGATATATTGTGTAAAACTGTACGTAAATTGCAAAATAACTTGATGTAATAAGATAAATTCTATTAAAGTGAGACTTGACATAGTAAATTAGCATGTTAACTGTTCGTACACGAAACTATTCTGTACATACAAACGTATCTCTATCCGTAACTAACGAAGAATAAACGTGTCAGAAATTTTCTTCTTCCTTTTTATACCTATAAAATAAGTCCTTTAAGCAGTTTTTATGTATTTATAATTAAATTTTTATAGCTGTTGTCTTGATATTGTTATTTATATTTTTACCATAAATAATATTTTTAATATTTTACCGCAAGTAATATACGCACGTACGCATGCACGCATCTATATATACATATATATATACAAGGTAGACTATTTTATTCAATACACGCGAATATTTCGGAAAGTTTTTTCAAAAAATATTTTAGACAAAAGTTTTTGGCTTCGAGGGGAGTGGATGTAATAGGTGGATTCTGAGACTGGAGCTCCGAGGGGAGTGCGGGGAAGGGAGATACCGCAAGGCGCGGTGGCTGACGTCACGTAGGGGAGGGGGAAATTTGTAGTCGCGGGAGCTAACGTCACATGTGTGGGGACTAATATACTGTATTACTAACCGTCGTTACCTCCTCCAGCGGTCGATATTCTTCCAGCGATTGATATTCCTTCAGCGGTCGATATTCTTCCAGCGATTGATATTCCTTCAGCGGTCGGGCTCCATCAGCCAACCACGTTCGATCGCCCGTGGCGGTCCGCTTCCACCGCTTTCGCGCAAACAAACAAGGTCCTGCACGGTAAGACGGGTGACAAATGGTAAAAACACGGTTGACAAACAGTAAGGAACGACAAAGGAACGGCTGACAAACGGTAAAGAACGGCAAAGAAACGGTTGACAAATGTTAAAGAACGGTAACCATGTTTTCTGAACGTTGTTTAACGTTTTACGTACGTTTATAATACAGTTTACGAGACGTCTTACGTTTATATAATTCTGCGTATAACGTCTTTTCGAACGAATGTGAGGTAGGAATAGGAAAAATTACCTAAAAAAAAAAAGGGACAAGAGGAGCTCGAACCTTAGATTTTTCGTTTACCTGCTGTCTTAGCTATATATGCTTTTATGATACGGCTGTTTCTATTAAGATGGTTACATTATGATTTTCAATGCGTTTACGTATATTATATATGGTAGGGAGGAAAGGTAAGTGTAAGAGAAATATTCATTTTTTAAATTATAACAGTTTATTTTTACCAAATTGTATTAATTTGCCATAGCATCGTGCACAATATATTTCAAAGCACTTGCCAACAGTTCGCAATCGACAAGAAACTCGCTGTCGAAATTGTTGCTCTCACGTGTTGTTTTAGCGGCGTAACACAGTTCGAGATTCTTAGATTCGTAACATATATCGGTGATATTATTTTGTTGCAAGACGTTTACAAATTTTTTAAATTTCATATCAACAAGATGCGTATTTTCACATAGCAATGAATACATATGATCGATACAATGCTCGAGATTAAATAACATATTCATTGTTTCCAATTTTAAATACATAGACTTATTTAACAGAGTAAGCTTTATAATTTTATCATCGTGCATCTTACAAAATTTCACCGCTAATTCTCGAATCCGTATCAGTGAAAAATGAGATTCTGTTGACTTTATATGTCGCTCGATGTCTGCACGTTTTTGAATCAGCCTTCTCCAGCGTTCACCAGCGTTCTCCACATTGAAATAGGCAATATCAGTTGATTGTTACCAAGGGCAATTTCTACAAATGAGACAGATCCTGTGCTGATTCCGATTTCTAGATATTTTTATGATATTTATGATGATTGCAGAGATCCACTATTTCAAATAATACCATGCAATATGTGCTCCATATGCACGAAGTAAGTGTTTTGACTAAAAGAATATTCCGAAGAACGCAGTGGAAAAATGGGAGAACTCGCGCGAATTGAACGTGAACTGTGGGAGCAGTTCGCTCGATTGAGTTCGCGAGACGAGTACAAGGCGGTGTGTTCGCCGCCCTCACATCCTGACTTGTCGAGGAACCGAGACAGTGCATACGCCGTCCCAGCTGCGTGTTCGCAGCCGCACTCACTATCCTCTCCTGGGAAGGGATATTATCGTCTCCACCGGCCTCCGACCGACGACATCCGGCCCGACAAGTCCGGAGTGGCGACTTCGCCGTCTCTACCGAGCATTCTCGGTCAAGTCTCGGCCCCGACTCTCCTGACGAGGAAAACGCCACCAAGAGCGTACCGACCGTTCGCTTTTCATCGCGCCGCACTTCTCTGCGAACTATCGGTGTCATAGTCTCCACGGAAAACACACGACACTGCAGAAACGGTGCCCGATACCGCGGGTACCTCCTGATTGTCATACCGTTCCGACCCCGTGGGGCCTCTGGGCTCAGAGAGTGCCTCCGCTTCTTGTACCACCTGCGCGTGGCCACCGACTGCACTCTCTGCGGCAATTAAAAGACATCGCGGAAAGTATCGCGGAGATTTAAACCGTCTAGCAGCGACCACACCAGCCGTACGCGTCAAAACACCGTTCTCCGCGACTCGTCCGACCATCACTCGCGCGACATACACACCGCACCGTCTTACCGCGCAGCCGTCTCACCGTGAAACTCCGAAATCAACTGTTCCGTCAAAACACACGCGCATCTATCAATATCAACAACACGCTGCAAGCCGTGTAAAGTATCAAACCAACATTCGCTCATCTGTTGTAACCCAGACCGACAAATAAATCTATTGTTATTGTTAAACGAAGACTCTCTCCTAATTCTGAAACGAACCTGGACATCCGTCGAGCCATCCAAGGGCCGTGACCGATTCTCTCTCACCGTACCGAAAGACGTTCCCGCCGCGGATAGATACGCGCCGGACTTACCGCGAACGGAGCGGAGGAACGTCGCAAATTATTATCTTTCTTGTATTACATAATGTTGTTATTTTCATCATACCGATATGTTAAACATTCTCGTTACGTCAAATCCGATAGTATTACATTAAGTTACAAGGATTATTTTTACTTTTAATCTTTATCTTTTATTTGTATTATTCCAATAACGCTGATTTATAAAAGTCCGTCTGATATTAAGCTATATTTTCATTGTTTAACTTTAGCTAACCGTTTCATCTTTTAAATATTGTATCTTTTACAATGACTTTTCTTATCAGTTTATCGCTATTGTTAATCCGTGTGAGAAGCAAATTACGTTATTAATATAATTAATAAACTCTTTTATTCAAAATGTTCTAAATTGAACTAAGTTTGTTACATTTATTCATTCATTTTCTTTCAATTACTTCAATCAGAATTCCCCTTTCAACATATGGTCCTATCCCACATAAAGAGATTAAGTTCTTTGACCTATATAAAGGACCATATAACGAACGTTCTGCAACCGGAGTAAATGGGCCTTTCCGGACCTTGATCTGCAGATCTGCGAGTACGTTTACGCCTCGCGTGTGCGCAAGTATCCAGTGTCTGTTGCGTACATCCTCTTCCACGATGTAACACGTGCATAGCCTCCTATACCTTCCTCTGCTTTCCCTACAAAAAGAACATGTATATTTGTGGTTCACATGATATGTTGCAATTATATCACATACAAATAATTTATATTGCTATATTATATGCTATTATTTGTTATTTTCATGTTATATTGCTGCAATAAACAGTGTTTATTATAGACGTAAAAATCGACGTCGATTCGATGTAATTTCGATGGTTTCGATATCGATTTGACGTTGATTTGAAGGTTTATTTCTCGCTCAATACATAATATTTTCAATATATTTCAATATTACTACAACATTTATGTGATATATGCTGTATGGGATTTTATTTTGACGCATTTCGCAAGATATTTTGGCGCGTATTTTCTCGTTTCTAACATCATTAATCAAAATGACTGCGGTGAAGAAACGAGAGCTTTAAAGGAGAAACGTTTAAGCAAGAAGAAATGTAATAGTGCTTTATAAATTAATATGAAACAGCTTTCGACACACGTATTCTTATGTAATTAAAAGTCGCACCTTTTCCTCGGCGATGCTGCTGGTAGATGGTATTCTCTGCGAAGGTTCCTTTCTTCGTCTTTCCTCGATAGCTTCGGCGTCGAAACTCATGGTTGGCTGCACCGTTTGCATCATGGACGCGTTCACATGCCTCGCCTTGATTAAGGGCGGGTTCCGGGACTGCGGTAACGCGAATGCCCTTCTAAGGGCGCCTCGTGGCGGCGACGGTGGCGGATACGATATACCTGACGACACATCATCCATACGTGACTATCCGCCAAAAGTAATGTTGTTTTTTACAGGTTCCTGTCTGCGACTAAATGATCTTTGAATTCTATTGACAATAATCAGGGTCGAAATAGACGGAAGATAGGTGTTTAATGAATTATCGACAGAAATCTTTTTCGCGTTTGTTTCTTCGAAGAAATAAAATACAAGTTTCCATCAACGCTGCGTATTTATTTGGAGTTTTTGCGCGCTAAAGTTACGTGTATAATAGCTTTATCAAGCATTTCTTTCTAATTAGATCTTTATGTCTCACAGAGTCTATACATCAAACTAATCTATCAGTAACCTTTACGGAAAAGTGTTATTGACTGGTTAATAATAAATTACTGTATTTCACTAATTTTATTACTAACGCCTGGTGACTGTACTTAAATTACAAAGATACTAATAATGTATAGTAATTAAATGATAATGATGACACACGAAAAAAAAGTTTTGTTATATTAACCAAAAAGGGAACAACTAGATGTATTTTGGTCGAAGAAAATAAAATTTATGATTATAAAGATCACTTTTGGGTCATAAGAACCACAAATTCTGTTTCCTTCAACCAGAACGTATCTAGTTGTTTCCATTCTGGTTAATACAACCAGATTTTTTTCTATGCAGTGATCATCACTAATCGACTATAGATCTCTAGAGATAAATTACTAGTACGAAAATTTTTCAGAAATTAATTACTCATGTGAAGTGTTGCACCGAATGATTGAAACCTACATTAGCAATTGAGCCCAGAAGCCTTACTTTTTAAATAATTGCCCATATGTTAGTTTCATTGCATAAGTATAATCATATCATAAAATAGCTGTATAACGACATTAACGTAAATGTAACCATTTCAAGAATAGAGGTTCAGAGGCTATATTTTGTACATGTCTGCAAATAATTCGGCTAGGAAATGTATCGTTGCGCAGGTATAACATATGGCAGAAAAGCTGTGCAACGACACATACCGTTCCAATAATTATCGGTACTTCAGCATTGTTTCACATGAGTCATCAGTACCTAGCAAAATAAATTAATACTGGAATTTATTACTTCATTTAAGAAGGGCAGAGAGGATAAATTTATATAAAAAAAAAAACACGCATATACACACAACATTTGCTGATTCTATTTGTTTTTATAACACCTGTTGGCAGTGATTAATACTGGAGTTTATGATTATATTTTTTGTATATTGTGTAGTATATCGTTTAATTTAATATAATCTCGTTTTCTGTACATTTTCAAGAAATTTTGTGAACTCGTTCGCTATGTTTTATTTATTTATCGAATATTATAAATGTATTCTGGAAATAATATCTGCACTTTTAATAAAAATAATTTAAAATTTTTGATAACGAGAGAAATATGTATAAATTTTCTGATGATTAATATGAATTGTTTCATAACATATATTTCTTAAAGTAATTTGTTGTTTGTTTTGAAATTTACTATAATCTGTAATTAAAAGTGCAAAAACAATAATGACACCATTGGTTCACCAATACATATTATATTAATTTCTGTGTATTAATATCAATTGTTTCTACGTTGTTTTAAATGTATTATGTCATTACAATATTTTGTGAACGATATAAGAATATATTATAAGCATAGCCTCTCAAGATATCGTCAGAGCATATTGGTATTTGAAGTTTCTGTTCGATCAGGATAAGACTCGATTAAAGTAAAGCAACACTGACCACAGTTAGAACATGAATGTGTGACTTCAAGATTAAAACCACGAAGTCACATTATGAGATGAAAAAATGTAAAAAATTTAATTGGCACTTTTTTCTTAAATAAAATGATGTAACATTAAATAGTTTTACCTCGTTTGCATCAATATAATTCTGCTGGAAGTAATATTCTGTAATTTCAATAATTAATTCCTATAATTCACAAAAAAATCGCTGAAATATTGATCAGTGATAAACCATTATCACTATTTTTCTTTTTATCACAGTGTTTATATTTAACACACTACTTTTTCCAACGATTACTAATAATACTTTTCTGTAAGGAAGTCTTAAAATATTATTATGACGTTTCTCTCTTATGTTTGTCATCCTGGGCGATCATTCTGTTTTTAACAAGGCATTTCGGCATTAATAACGTCGAAATAGAAGCACTTGGTGATCCACAACTCGTGGTAGTGATTCACGCATACTATAATCTAATAGGCGTGCATTACTGTTAGTGAGTGTCTACATGTCATCGATGCGTAAGACAATTTCTATCAAAACGACCTCGGTGGGATGCGACAAACGTAGACACAGAGATCCGCGTCGATAATTGCTACCTCGGTGTCCTGGTGAGAGTAGAGCATCCTTGTTCTTCGTGATCTGCGGCACAATGAGTAACGAATTCGGCGGCGTCGGCGACACGGTGGAGGTTTGTGGCGAGGTGGCTAGCGTGAGATTGGGTAGCGATTGGCCCAGACTCGAGTATGCCGGCATTTGGACGCTCAAGGTGTTCGGCGTTGGCGATTTGGTCAATAACGAACGCCTGTGACATGGAATTGGTAAATAGACCGAGCGAGCGAAACAGAGAGAGAGAGAGAGTTTAAACGGACTGTCAATCTGTCTGCGACTGAGACACAATTCGTACACCCGTGGTCTTATCCTTACCTACTTTTATCTGCTTTCACCTTGTGCTCTTACCTTATCCGTAAGGGTCGGTGATTGTGTCCGAAGCCAGATTCACCGCCGCCTTCTTCCGACGACACGCTCGATGCTCGTGGCGGTTCGTTTGTGTCCACGTTAACGTTCCTGCTCGGGTTGTAGTTTGGTAGGAAATTGTTGCTCCCAGGAGACACGCTTTCCATTTCCATGCTACTGCTAAAAGCATATTGAGTGAAGATAAAATACGGAGAAATACATTAAATAACGAATAATGATAGTTTAATGTAATTGGTCCGTAAAACTAGTTCCTTAAGAATTCTTATAAATTTTAATTGCATATCAATGAAAATGCTATTTGCATAGATAGAACAAATTTTATCATTCGCGAATTGAAATATTTGCAACTAAAGATAATACTTTTTATGCGCTTTTCGAGGTTAGCGTCCTATTTTTAATTTCTATATTTAATTCTTCCTAAATTGTATTTGGAAGATTGTGAAATGAAAAACTATATATTACCAGGTTGATTGATAAGTCTTTAGAATGACACATTAGTGGTGTTGCCACCTCCAATGTGCCGTGAATTTCCAGTAGTGCTAACCTTCAAACCTCTCACTATACAGTAGCAGAGAGCTATGACAATCGGTATATTTGTGATAGCCACCGAAAGCACATGACCGCTGATATTTTGTAAAAATTGAAAAAAAAACTGAAATTCGTGCAGTGATTAAGTATTTCCATTTAAAAAGCTTGCAACTGTAAGAAATGATTGAGGACTTCCAGAAAACTTTGGGAGAGTCTGCTCCGTTGAATGCAACCATGTATGACTGGATTGCTGAGTTTAAACGTGGTCGCACCAGCATATCGGATGCACGACGCAGTGGTCGTCCAAATGAGGTGACTACACCAGAAATAAGTGAAAAAATCCATGATATCGTGTTGGATGACTCCAAAATGAAATTGCGTGAATTATCTGTTGGCATCTCATCTGAATGTGTTCAATATCCTATACGAACATTTGAGTATGAGAGTTCGCACTTCTCAGCATTGTTTGGACATGTTTAGACGCAAATCAAAGGAATTTTTGCGTCGATACATAAACGTTGATGAAATATGGATCCACCATTATACATCTGAATCGAAGCAACAGTCGGCACAATGGGTTCCAAAGGGTGGAAATGCTCCGAAGCGACCAAAGACTCAACAATCGGCTGGAAAGATTCTGGTCGTTGTGTTTTGGAATGCATATGGGATAATCCTCATCGATTATTTTGAAAAGGGAAGAACAATCACAGGAGAATATTATGCATCATTGTTGATTGAATGATGAAATTAAGAAAAAATGGCTTCATTTAGTGAAGAAAATATTCTCTTTCATCAAGACAATGCACCAGCTCACAAATCGTAAAAGCAATGGCAAAATTGAACAAATTGAGGTATGAATTGCTCCCACATCCAACGTATTTTCCAAATCTGTTATAAGGACTACTTTTACTTTTAATTTTCATCTTTTATTTATTATTCCGATATTATTATTTTATTCCGATAACGCTGATTTATAAAATTCCGTTTGGTAATAAGCAATATTTTCCATCGTCTTTAATGAGTTAATTGATTAATCTTTTAAATATTGCATTTTTTACAATGACTTTTTTCATCAATTTATCACTATTGTTAATCCATGTGAGAAGTAAATTATTAGTATAATTAATAAACTCCCTTATTCAAAATGTCTTAAATTTAACTTTTGTTACATTTATTCATTCATTTCCTTTCAATTCAATTACAAATTCCCTTCCAACACTCTCATATGGCCTTATCTCAAGTAAAAAGATTAAGTTCTTTGACAAAATAAAGGACCACCAAATAAAGGATTTGAATAAAGGAACACCAAAAGTGCGTTCTGCAATCGGAGTAAATGGGGCCTTCCGGATTTTGACCTGATCTGCGGATCTGCAAGTATGTTGGATCTCGCGAGTGCGTGAGTATATGGTGTCTGTTGCATACATTCTTTTCTAGGACGTAACAGTATATATTTATTTCAGTTTCGCTTCAATCATTTGCCATTTTTAAATAGCAAAATAAATTTTTATAGTAGAGTAATAGATTAGAGAACATTTTTTACCTGAGAAATAGTACATTTATATAAAAGGTTATAAATATTTATATAAAAGATTCCTTTGGTGACATCATAAAACATATATTGCACGGACTAATTATCTTAAAAAGAACAAAGAATAAGAATAACAGGAAGAAAATTAGAAGAAAGGAATAATTAAAAATCCAGATTCAATATTCAGATAAATATACCTGTGGCTATGAGCGAGACTGCTAACGCGCGATGTTCTGCTGCTGCCGCGCGGAGTTCTCGGAATACTCTCGCATTCCTCTGCTTCGAAGTCGCCGTTGCCCAAAAACGTGCTCGGTTGTCTATTTACGGTTGTCAGGTTCATTACGGTCTCGCCAAGCGATGGCGTCTTCATTAACGCAAATTGCTGTTGGGCCTTCTTCAAGGACTCTATCCACGACTGGAAAAATATTGTTAATTCCGGAGACCTTTGTTTGTCGGATAAATACTAGGATCTATAGACGATTTTACTGATATAAGTCGCTTAACTTTTGTTTTTTCTTTCTTAACTGCAGTTTAACCGATCTTATCTTTCTCAATATTTGAAACTTTCGCGACGTAGAGAAATGCTGGTTTTCGGGTTGAAACCTTGTTTTCTTGTCTGGATTTTTGTTTTCACACGTTGCAGCATATATGCGTCTTAAAACTGGCATCACTGTGTGTGGCGAACTTCGCTGTGATTTGTGGTGATTTATATATAGTATAAACTCATTTAATCGAATTACTTTGGCTAGTTTTGGTTCACCGATGCTGAGGACCAAAGCGGCCGAGGCCGCCCCGTACTCGTTAAGATAAACCAATCCCAGATTGGACGGTTCTTTGAGTTCGTAAATTCGTATCCGGTCAACGACATACGGCTGCCTAATGATCTTCAAACCACACCCGAGACCTCCTACTGTGCCGCTTGATGATGTTTTCTTCGTCGAAGGTTTGCAGATCAGCAACATGTCCGTAAATAGTAATACGTGTACTTCCATCTGAAGGAAACGACAATTAACGAACTTCATATTTAATTGGATCGTAAGGTCAGGACAAATTGAGATAAAACTGATTATCCGTTTCTTCTTAGACATAGCAGCGGTAAGAAACAGAAAAATCGAACTTCGTGCAACTTAGATTAAAAATCGGCAGATTATTTGTGGTCAACAATGATCATGAGGAAATAGTTTAGATCCGGCGGTGCAAGATACCATTAGCCATTTTTTAATATTTCAGCGGAAAACAGGGTAAAATATTAGAAAAGACAAAGAGATTAGCAAAGAAAGAGCGTGGTACTGTGTTTCAAAGAGGGCCAATAATTCCGAAAAGAGAAAAGATGAAAATAGAGAAAATTTAAGTCTGGATCTACATCTAGGTGTAGCAAGCCTCTTTTGTTCCAAACAATAAAACATAATGTAATTTTTGATAAAAGGCGTTTCCCGTACTATTAAAAGTTATAATAACGCTTAAAACTTAAAAATCACCATGTGTAACGCTGGAAACGCCTTGTTTGCTAAAAATTATGTTACAATTTAGTAATTTTACTTAGAGTTAAAGGCTTAAAACTTATTACATCTATTATAAATCCGGAAAACTAATGTTTATTAAACATTTTTGTGACACAGATTATGAATAATTTGTAGAATTATTCTTCATCATTTCGTCCTGGTTTATCACATAAAGGGCAGGAGATGTTTCGATTTGAACAAATAGACGTTTTATTCTCGACATACTTTGCTAGTGGTGGCATCTTTCAATTTCAAGTCTCCTTCTCGTAACAATGTTCTCAGGGTGTCCTTCGGGCAACCGGGTATTGGTGTCGTGATGATATCGAAACTACTATGCATCTTGATCAGCTTCTCCAATTCTTCGTCTTTGGACTCTACGACGTCGTAACTTTCGAGACGGGAAGCTGCGTTGGCTAATCGTGCGGTCTCCTCGCTTCTTTTCAGGGCCGCGTTTACAGACGCCACGAAATCGTCCACCGACTTGATCTGCGCGTAAAAAACGAGACTCTCAGATTTCGTACGTCACTATGGTCATTCATTGAGTTGATCGACTACACGGATTTCACGTGTGAAGGACGCTCCGAGGAAGAAGAAAAGAGAATAGGCTAAGAAAGTCTATGATTCACAAGATCCATTTCAATTTTGTGTCTCGAGTGAACTTGACGAATTACGGACTTGGTTTTTCCTTTCGCCTCGAAGAGTCCCTCCTTCATTGTGTGTATTATCGCGGAAAAATGAAGATAACCTGGAGCTCGCTTTACCATGTGGATTAGTTCCATTCGTTGATCTTCGTTCTCGGTATTCTTGTGAACGGCTTTGAGAAGGAGCGAATACTTCGTCAGTCTTTGCATCGGCTTTACAAGTATGTCCAAGAGTTTTAGTCGATTGCACTCTTTCTGCGTTTCGCACCACTGCAATGTTGATCAAAGTATATCGCCAGCATCTTAATAGGTAATCTTCGAGAGATTTTTGTTAATTTTTAAATTTCTGTCATTTCCCTTTATCTGTTTAGTCCAAAAGTTTGACTCAATTTTAGTTAAACCCGACTTTATTGCATTTATTGGAAACATATTATTTTTCAAACAAATAATCTTTATTGTTGTACATGAATTTTTGCACATTCTTGAAATATTTACTTTTCACGTATATTTTATTGCAGAACACGATTGGTTTATGGTTGATAGGGGCAGAACCAGTAGTCGATTACCTTCAACAGTTCTTCGCTGAAAAAACGCCCGAGCTTTACACGCGAGGAACTATGCAACTGCCCGAAAGATGGCAAAAGATTATAGAAACTAACAGCCGTTATATTATTGATTGAGGTTATTTTTTAAATATAAATAAACTTCCTCCAATTTTGAGTTAAAAATACGACATTACTTTCCTTCTAACCGAATATTATCGTAATCACACGATGGACTTGTCTATGGTTATCTTCTATTGCTAATTTAATTGTTCTGCTTAATCCTTCAAATATATATACACTTTAAGTTTCGTATTTGTTAATCATTCATTATGGATTTGCGCGGTTTATTAAGTACACAGCCTTAGTACACACGTTAACTATACCATAAGGCTTCGTGACGTGTTTAGGAGCGGGTCGGAGGCGATTATCAGACACATACATACCACAAGATACGCTGTGAAAAGCTGGTTATCGTTCAGTCGGTCGCGACAATATTGTTGACACTTGCTCTGCTCGGCGCAATATCTCGTATAAGGTGTAAACGTCTGCTCGAAAGTTTCAAAGCCCTGCAGAAGGTGGCGGGGATCAAGCGGCTGGCCGCTCGATCTCGACGCGTCTAGCATCGTTAGCAGATGCTCCGTCCAGAAGTAGCGATTAGCGGCGTAAATATTAGGTATATTGCTGAAGAGCTTCGACTTGTCGACCTCGTTCAGGATATTCGAAGCCTGCAAGCCGCATAGGCACGCCATGAAGAGCTGCGATATCAGAAATTATTATCAACTTGAGAAAGATTAAAACCTTAACTATCATTTTTCTTTGGATATTCGTGATGTACCAATAATATCTTAATGAATGTCCTTTGAAAGATTTCGATTATTTTCTCAGTTTTTATTATTTTTTCATTTATAGATCAATCAGAATCCAATTCAATTTTTCAATAGAATTTGACTTTATTATATTCAATAGAAAGGAATTATTTATTGATTAAAAGGATGCCGTATTTTAAAACTTTGCCTGCAAAATACTAATTTCTTACTGCAAAGTTTACTTAGTATTGGCTATATAGAATTATGCATGTTTTTATACAGTAAAAGTACGCGCGAAAATGAATTGGAATATTATTCAAGAACAATTCAAAATTTCCAAATTAATATCTTTAGCTATCAATTAGGATAGATATTGATACAAAAATCGTATAATTTGTACATACCGAAAGTGTCAATATTTCGATCAGGAAAATTCCGAAAAACATTTTTATACATTTTTAATGAAATTTAGAGACTTCAAAAGATATGGAAAGTTTGTAGACAAATTTTTATATATCTTGGCTAGATTTTCTGTTAGATATAAAACAGGAGAGCACTTTCATCGTATTCACATTTATAACGTACATTTACGTAAGATCTATAAAAAATACAAAGAGTAGAATAAGCGAATTTATTTCGGAACAGATTTAAAAAATGCTGTATTTTTATATAAAACCTTACAAAATAAATTTGATATATACAGTTTAAAAGATTATCTTTTTTACCTACATAATGAGCATAAGTCAATATTTGAAAGCTTTATTTTGAAATAACAGGCAATCAATTGAAACATTTGTTTCAAATTAGGTTCATCTAATTCGAACAATTGAGTTCCGATCCGTAGCTTACATACGAGGATGGTTTGATAAATTATTTGGTTTGATATTAAAGATAACAATTTGAGTTTTGTAACATAGTTTATTTTTCGATATAATCCCCTCAAAGTCCAACGCACTTGTCCCGAAGTTTCTCCAGGTTCGCGATTCTTTCGCGGAAGTAGTTTTCTTCGAAGTCCTCAAATTGTTATTGTGCCTTTTTTGGTAATTCCTAAATGTTTTTTTGCGATTGCTGCCTTTAATCGGTCCAAAAGTGATGCATAGTATTTTCCAGCAATGGTTTTTCTCTTCTCGAGGTAGTCAATAGGGAGAATTCCTTTCGCATCTCAAAAAATTGACGTCATCATCTTTTTAGCGGATGGAACGCATTTCGCCTTTTTCGGAACCGGTTCGATCCGTGCGGTCTACTGTTTCGACTGTTTCGTTTCCGGGATATAGTGAATCCAAGTTTCGTCTATGATTACAAAACGTTGCAAAAAATCTGTTGGATTCTTCTTAAACACTTGCAAAGTGTTGGTTAATGTTCGTATGCGAATTTGTTTTTGTTCTGGTGTGAGCAAACGCAACATTCATCTTGCGTTAAGTTTTTTCATGTGCAATTCATAATGCAAAATGAAGTGAATCTACTCAATTGAGATATCTTTGGCCTCTGCTAACTCGCGTGCTTTCACTCGTCTGTCGGTTAAATCCATATCATGGATTTTATCGATGATTTCTGGCGTCACAACTGATTTCAAGGCTCCAGGACGTTGTACATCTTCGATGCTTGTTCTGTCACGCTTGAATTCATTTACCCAAAGTCGAACCTTTCATAAGAAGGGCATGAGTCATCCAATGTGGGGGAAATCCTCTTATAAATTCCCTTCGCTGTTTTCCTTTCCAGAAAAAAGAATTGAATCATACCACGAATTCCATTTTTCATTGTCACTTGAAACACTTCTGTTTAAGCAACTGTCAAACAACAAATTACTGTCAGAATGACTTGTGACCATAGAAATTCATCCATAGGAAGGACATTTTACGATCACATATACAAATGTCGCTGTCGCCTTTTATTAATATGCAAACCAAATTATTTATCAAATCACCTTTGTATATTAGATATACAATTTAAGTTCAACCTGTACAGAGAATGGATCATCTGGAAGACCACATACAAATGGGAGGGCGGAATTGGTGCTGGAAGAAGAAAAATATCGAACCTTCGTTATGCGGATGATACAACATTCCTTGAAGAATCAGAAGAGGAAATTATTAACTTGATATCTAAAGTAAATGAGGTTAGCAAATATGTGGGATTGAAAACAAATATCTCAAAAACTAAAATAATGATAATTAATAAATTTTAGAAACTACTTTTTACACGTGCTATAAGACACAATTTTTTCACTTAAGTTCGAGCAAATTATTTCTTTAACCTCGGCGGCATTTTTCTTCAGTCAGAATCCAAAAAGGAGGCAGTGCTTCAGATACTGCTTTTCGAATGATATCGCTTTCAATATTCCTTTTGAGATTATATCAGCAGTATAGTCAATTATTATATATCGTTTAAAAGCTGAAGGGTGATATTTTAAAACAACTATACGGCGGAAAAAAAATTTTAATTTAAATAGATGCTGTAGTTGATTAAATATAGAGGTCGAGAATTAAGTTGTACACCTAATATTAAACTATGATATCTAGAAAATGTAGTAAATAATATTCTTCCCATTTTTAAAGACTATGGGAGAGATTAAAGATGTTCTGAATTAAGTTCATGTACCTATTTCAGACCAAAACTTACCGTAAAAAACTGATCAATGGAAAGTTTGAATTTATACATAATAAACATAACAAATATAACAAACATGTAATAAAAGAAACAACCTTAAATCGATAAAATTTAGGGAGATATTAGGCAAATATTGTACGAAGGGATATTGATAACATTTAGGGTCACACTGGAAAACAAGATCACTTAATTTTTAAAGAATATTTTATACAATGATTTTATTCTACAATAAAAGAGAAATACGAATAGTTTAGAGCAAAATATAATTGATAAAAGTCGAAGAAAGAGACAGGCATACAGTCTGTTCTACAAGAAAGTATACGACCTTAATACAAAACGGTTGGCCATAGTGCTATCTACTTTATGACGTTGGAAAGCTTGGAGTGTACCTTTTTGCACAATATATGCTTTGTCGTCATTCCAACGTTACGGTTTGATTAGAGTGAACATTTTCAAGATCAGTGCAAAATTTCAAACGTTACGAGGTTTTTAGTTTTACATGCAAAAGGATAAAAATTAACGTATGTTCAGGCTTCAAAAGTGATTAGAAAATCAAATCCATTCGCTCAAAAGTGGGTGAAACAGTACAAAGGAGTAAGGAATGTTGACGACTTGCCAGGAAGAGGCTTAACCCGTGCGTCGACATCGAGAGAGGACAAAACGATCATTCTTCTGTTTGAACGAAACTCTATGTTAACATTACGCCAAGCTCGGGACCAACTTCGTGAAAAGGGTATAAATGCTGGAATAAACACCATAAGACGTCGTTTATATGAATAGAACATAAAATATCGTTCCACAACTAAAAAGCCTCTTCTGGCATAAGAACATGTCATAAGACGACTGGCATGGGCTCATGAAAATTTGAGTAAAAATTGGGACAACGTTATCTTCACGGAGGAAGCTTCTTTTAGGGCATGCTTACCTATACGAAAAGCCTGGTCAGTCCCAAGTAATAAGATCATCCAGCGGACAGTTAAGCGTCCGTTTAAGATCCATGTTTGGGGATGTTTCTGTAAGCGTGGTTTTGGTTGCCTCTATTTGTTTACTAATAACCTAAACATTAAAAAAAATGCGCTATATTTATCAAAAATGTTTGTTAACATCTACTGAAAAATTTTATGGAAAAAATAGAAACAATTGGGTGCTTCAGGAAAATAACGACCTCTAACATTAGAGTCGCCTTTGCAAAGAATGGAAAGCTGAAAATTGCATCATTACAATGGATTGGCCTGCATCGTTCCCAGATGCGAATCCAATTGAGAATATGTGGTCTTACATAAAGCACAAACTAAGAGGGAAATCTATCTTTACTTTTAAGCAGTTGTGGACCAGAATCAGAAAGTTATGGCGCTCTTTACTACTTGAAATGCTCAAAAATTAGTCGAAAGCATGCCAAGAAGATGTCAAGCTATTATTGACAAAGAGGCGACTGGACCCATTATTAAGTAATTGTGCAATATCTTTTTGTATCTACTTTAATATATTAAAGTCTTTTTTAGGTTGCATATTCTCGATATGCTACCGTATGCTTTCTTATAGAACAAACTGTATATTATGGGTAATTTACAATTCCGGATTTACATACAACTATTTCTGATTTCAAGAAATAAATAAAATTTGAGTTAATATTGCAGGAAACGATAATAAATTATTTTTTTGATAGATATTAGGTATATTAATTAGGTGTATTAATTAATTCGTGCCGCTTTGCACAAAAATATACATCATTTGAATTTAAGTTATTATCACGCCCATTTGCTATTTTAAAATATTGACATTCAAGATTGAAATATACCATGTAGTTTGACATTTAAGGAACATAACCTTAAAAATCAGTAGCAAATATCATGGACTACGATAGAGAATACATTCACACTGCACACGTTACTGCATACGTTTTGTGTTTAATCTCAATAAAAACGCTTCTGAGGCAGTCAATTTTTTCCACTTGCGAGAAAGGTGCAACGAATGAAAGAACGTGCAGAAAATGGTTTAGTTATTTTCGAGACGGTGATTTCAGCGTTGATGATCAACTATATGCTGAGCAGCCTCGCAAGTTTAAAAACGATGAGCCGCAGGCCCTACTCGATGAGAACCCGATTCAAACACAAAAAGAACTTGCTGAGCAATTTAGAATGATGCAACCAACGCTTTCAGTTTGATTGCACCAGCTGGGAAAAATTCACAAAGAAGGAAGATGAGTTCCATATAAGCTGGCTGTTGACAACAAAAATTGTCGGTTGACAACGTGCATTTCTTTGCTTGCCAGAGTGCAAAAAAAGGATTTTTTGCATAAAATCTAGCGACGAAAAATCGATCATATATTATAATCCTAAATA